ATTGTAGGAATTTATTTTCCCGCTATTAATTTTAAAAGTGCATGGATTTAGGCAGCGTTATATCGTTTGGCTGGCTATGATCCCAACCCGCTGCATATTGATCCTGAGTTTGCTTCTGGTTTTGGATTTGAAAAACCGATTTTGCATGGCCTTTGCACACTTGGCTTTTGCGCAAGGCATGTGTTAAAGGCGTACGCTAACGACAGCTCCGAATATTTTAAGGCTATCAAAGTAAATCTTTTGCTCTTAAAAAACCACTGAAAAATTACTGAAAGTGTTTTTACGAGATTTGAGATGTTTAAGATATCTAGAGATAAAAGGACTGGAGGAAATCGAGAATGAGAATGGCAGCAATTCAGCTTCAAGCGCCAAGAATTCCGATCCTTTTTCAATTTAACTTACTTACAAAATATATTTTTATTGTTGAAGGTTCGTTTTACAAGTCCCGTGATGCCAGGCCAAACGCTGCGGACAGAGATGTGGAAAGAGGGAGCGAGAGTACACTTCCAGGCAAAAGTACTTTATTATTTCTAGTTCGCCTGATATTTCTGTATATTAAAAGGAAATAATAAGCTCTCCGTTTCGCTCATCTGTCAAATAGAAAACGCAGTTAAATTGTATTTATGGTTTGTTAAAGAAACAGTAGAAAGCTTGCACGCTGAACTGACCCAATGCACATCTAAAAGCCCATTTTGCGCTTGCTGGCTCCCACGTGAATAGCAAACTTCTCAAAAAAATACTATTTGCTGGTTACCGAATTAATTGGCTGCCAACACTGTTCCGGACTAAATTTTCATTTGCGACCACGCGAAACCAAGGCGCGTTTTAAAAATGGAACTGAAATATCTAGGTTGCACAAGGGCATAAAATATTGTAAAATTCCGTCTTTCTTAACTTGATTGGGTACGCTAAATCAGTTTCCATTACAAATATCTCTGCTGTGCCCGAACATGCATCCCAGACATATGCCAAAGCCTGTTTTGCGCCCACGTGCCTGTGTATGGAAAAAATAATATTGTAAAGCTGGGTCTTTCTAATCAGCTGCATTCTCATGTTGATATTTTTCGTAATGTCAACAATTTCGTAATGTCAACTTTCATTTGTGCGTGCATGTGACTTGGGCGTGCGTTAAAGCTGAATTGGAAATCCTTAGTTTACGCAAGGACACAGAACACCCGTATGAAATTTCAGCTCCCCTCTCTTATTCTCAAAACCGCTTCCCCTCCAATATTTATTGGTTACGCGCAGCGGACGGCCCTGTGCGATTATGCGTTCTTGCAGTGTTTCGTGCTGTAATAAGATCGCTCGGAAACTTAGTAGCTAGAAATGTGTGATATGCTA